AGATTAAACAATTTTAGATCGATTGGTATCTTCAGAGCCAAGTCCAAAATTTATACTTTCTTTTGCAGAGCATTTTGTCATTCTCTGGACTTTAATAATTGTCAAATGTAGCCTACACTACATCACCTGCAACTGCATCGTTCGCTCAGTCTCTGTAATGTGAATGAGACTACTACGGCATTGTGCAAATGTGATGCAAGTGAATTTTGATGAAATTCCTGGCTTTTGGAAGAAATTTCACTTGAAACGATATTTCAAGGAAATTTCCCTACATTTTCCTGACACCTATTGTTCTGATCCACGTGAATTTTTGAATGATAACTTGTGGTGTGGGATAGTCCCCCCCCCCAAGTTTCAAGCAACAATTTGCTCCTTCAAAAAATTCGCTGCAATTTTTAGAACGATAATTCTCTGTTCCCGAAAATTCGCTGCAGTTTTTCTAACAATCTTCCATTCATCAATAGGGTAAAACCTATGAGTGAAATACGTGCAAATATGTGAAATGCTGTGCAACGGTCTTGCCACCGGCAAGGTTTATTAGTGTAAAAACTCGTAATAACTGTTAGAAACGAATCGTGGTTGTACTACTGTAATGGAGGTCTTCCAGAATTGTTTATCCCTGTAAGTTTTAGAGTCCCAAAGAATACTGCAAAGGCAACAAAAATGGAGCAAAGTACAGCCAGTGCTCGTACAACAAATGACCACCAGGGGGCTGGAATGGAATAGACAACAGCTGAATAGTTTTGCAAGCATTCCACACATACATACATAAACTTTATTAATGTGTCTTCACATCTAGCGGATGGGAAAAAAAAACCTCTACTAATCAGGGACACTTACATGTAATACAGTTAATTACAAAAGTGGGATTGCACTGACAACATTCTGGTTTTCTATAAAAGTAAAGAATCTAGAAACTTTTATGTTCAAAAGGAGGCTTCGATAACCATTGTTTATGAAGTTTGGGCTTTGTTGGTGTATGATATGTATTGCTGACACTTTGCAAAACACGGGAATCATGGATTGAAACGTGCAGCGTATCCAGTTAGAGAAAGGTGTGTTTTCATTTAAAGTTCCTCGCAAGTTGTTTGTGGCTGTTTGCTTTAGTGGCTTAGATACCCAAAACTGGAGATGTTTTTGTTTTGTTTGTGGAACGAACTGAGCTTGCTGTCTTCATAATATGGAAAGTACATCCTAATTCTCTTCATATGAAACTGAACTCACATGAATGAACCTGCTTGAAAACCTTCAGCTCATTGCGGTTTGCAAGCGAAATGCAGTTAACTACAAACCAGTTACATTAAATGAATTAAATTGTTCTTTGCCATATTAACTGAGCTTAGCTGGTCTGAATGGGAGAATCTTGACCTCGGTTATTTGCACTTATGACATCGGTCAAGATTCTCCCATACAGACCTCCTGCTCAGTTAATAAGAGCTAAGGACTGATTTTCTTTGACTAAAAGTTTTTTTACATGCAGGTATCACAAAGTGTTAAATTGAGCACAAAAATATTCACATTTCTTTTAGTCGTTAAGTGTCTCATGCCAAGTTATGTCCAAGAGCTAAAGCATATTATTTTTTTGCAAACCAAACAACTAGGACTAAATTTTCTGTTAGCTAATTTATTTAAATTGTCTTGTTTTGAATAGAGTCATCTGTCAGTCTGTTTTTCTCAGAATCTGAAAGATTACAGTCCAGCTGTTCAACTTAAAACTCGGCACCATGAATTTTGCTAGAATTCTTTCTCGTTAAATCGTTCACACCTTTTTTACTGTGTAATTTATGCGTACAAGTCACAATTCAAATGTGAGTAAGATGATGGAACTTTTTTGTTTGTTTTAGTAATATTCACAATAGGGTTTTTGAAATTTAGGAAGCCCTCTTCAAAGATACAGTCATCTTTTGACAGTCAGTAAAAACTATTGCAGACAAAAAATGCTATCACGGACATCTGTAAAATGTGCTTGAGTAGCATTAAAATCTGTGTACAAGTAATTACATTGTCATTGTTTTCGAGTTGTTTGGTCAGCCATTGCTTCTGGCATATCGTTGTCATACTGTGTAATTGCAGCCCTTTTACCTGTTTTGTGAAAATTTGAAGAGCTTTCTGTCGCAAATTAGTTGTAATTGTTCAAGGTAAGTTATTTCTATTTTAAAATCGTATGTACGTACAAACATACATATACTTTATTTTCTCTTGAATTTTAAGTAGCTAAAATTAGCTAATATCTTTGAGAAGATAACTTTAACAGACTACAATACTTATACAATAAAATATGCTAAAAATAATGAATGAGCTGAACTATGCACATAATACAACTACAGACAAGTTGCAATGCTACTGAAAAGAGTCATATTGTAGTATCTTTTGCTTAAAGTCCATAAAAGTAGAATTTCTAAGCATGTCCAGAAGAGAGTTCCATAATTTAACAGCTAAATATGAAAAGGAATACAGGCTGTAAGTTGTTGTTTGTGGATCAGAAGGAGACAATATGATTATCGTGTTAACTATGGATTTTAGAGCGCAGAGTAAACATTACTTAGATAACTTGGATAGCTATTAAAAAAGAGACTCTTAAGTTTGTTTTGTGTCTGATAATTAACTCTAACAGCCTTCAGTTTAGGTAAGTGAATTTATTGAACATTGCCCTTTTGCCCGATGTCGTGACCAAGAATCCGTATTATTACATTGTGTTGGTCACGCAATGAGAATCACATCTTGAGTTACAGTAACTTAAACCCCTATCGTAACATTTTCTCTTTAATAAGATAAGATAAGATAAAATTTTATTGTACACTCCTTAAAAGGTTTTCAGTGAACAATATAATACATGAGGTGAGATAAGTACAAAGTACACTAGTTATATATTATGTATGAAGTACACTAATGATATGAAAAAAATTAGAAAGAAAGAAAAATGAAAGAAATAAGAAAAAATGAGAGAAATAAGAAAAATTTAATTTAAGAACTCGCTGAGAAGCTTTGTCGTCAGAGTTTTCTTAAAATTTGCATGACTCTCGCATAGTTTTAAGTCTTTGTCTAAAGAGTTCCATAGTTTTACTATTCTGAAATAAAAAGATCTCTGACCAGCAGTGGTTTTGCACAGGGGAATAGTCAGTTGTTGTGAGTTTCTTGTGGTTCTGCTTGATATTTGTTGCCTTTTGACAAATTGTGATGTTAGATAGGTCGGGGCGCAGCCCGTCATGCACTTAAAAGCAAAAACAGCGTCTCGGAGGTAAAGCTGCTTTTTTACAGGAAGCCACCTCAAATTCTTGAGTGATGGATTTATATGCTCAAATTTATATGTACCACTAATTATCCGAGCAGCGAAGTTCTGAACGAGTTGAAGTTTTTGCACATTACAAGCAGTGGTACTGGACCATACAGTAGAGCAATAGTACAACTTACTGAAAACGAGCGTGTTGATGAGAGTCACTAATAGGCTGGAGTTAAATGCATTCTTTGCTCGATTAATCTGGGCTAATTTACTCATACAGAATGAAACTGTCGCTAAAATGTGGTTGTCAAATGAGAGAGTGGGTTGAATGTTACACCAAGATCTTTAATGGACTCTGATGGCAAGAGTTCCTTTCCGAGCAGCAAAAGCTTAAAATCAGATAGCCTATGGATCATCGGGCGGCTGCCGAAGATCATGAGCTTTGTCTTTTCAGGGTTGAGCAGGAGACAATTATCAAAACACCAGTTACGAATTAGATGTAAATCCTTTTGGATAGTGTCCTTTGCTTCATCAGCGTCACCAACTTTGAAAGACAAAAGAAGTTTCGTGTCATCCACATAGCATTCGGTTGAACAACTTTCGCTGATTGCTGGAAGGTCATTTACTAGCAAAGAAAAGAAATAAAGAAAATGAAATGGCATAAACGGCGACTATTTTGTGGGAGTGGTGATTAGAGCAGTGTTTAGTCCATGACAAAGTCATTGAATCTAGTCGGTTTTACAGAGACCCGGCCGCTGCGGGTTCGATATTCCCCGTTGTCATGTGTTGATGAGACACCTGTGTCTCCATTGTCTGGCTCTGGCTCAGGCTCGCCCTCTCCCTGGTGGCTCTCTGGGGAAATGCTCTCCTCTCTGTCTGTTGTAATAGGCATTTCTTCTCTAACCTCTGGTGTTTCTACAGCCGGTCCGACGTCGTCCCTTGGTTCATACTTTCTCAAATGCCTGCGATTTCAGAGGTACACCTTGCCATCTGCCCGTACTTCATAGGAACGGGGCCGCACTTGTTTCACCACTCGCCCGTTGGTCCAAGATCTCTGTCCTGAGGTGACTGGCTGGATTTTTACCCTGTCGCCTTCATGAAGCTGCTGTAGGGCCTTTGATACCCTGTCATAGTATTTTTGTTGCTTGGCTTGTCTTTGGAGAATGCTTTCCACCGAATTTTGGACCGTGTGTGGTTTCAACAGGCTTGCAGAGACTGGGAGGGTCATCCTGGTGCTTCTGCTCATCATTCTCTGGGCCGGGCTCGTGTTGTGTCCCTCCTGCAGAGTGTTGCGGATGTTCAAGAGAGCCAAATAGAAATCATTGCCACTGGCTCTCGCCATTCTCAGGGTCTTCTTCGCTTGCTTTACTGCTGATTCGGCCTTCCCATTGGATTGAGGGTAGTGTGGACTAGTGCGCGTATGCTTGAACCCATAACTTTGAGCGAAGACACGAAATTCTTCGGCTGCAAACTGGGGCCTGTTGTCAGAAACTATTTCATCTGGTACTCTGTATCTTGCAATGTGGGCCTTTAACTTCTTTATGACCGCTTCAGAAGTCGTGCTGTACATGCGGTCCACTTCAAAAAAATTAGAGTAATAGTCGACCATCACCAGGCAATCTTTGTTCTCAAACTGGAATACGTCTGCGGCAATCTTCGCCCAAGGGTGATCGGATACCTCGTGGCTCAGGAGCAGCTCCTTTTGCTGATGAGGTGCGTACGTGAGGCAAATCTCGCATCGGGAGATGTAATCTTTCACCTCACTGTTCATGTTGGGCCACTAAATGCTCTCTCGTGCTCTCCTCAGACTCGATTCTATCCCCTGGTGTGCTGCATGTAGATCTTTGATCATTTCCTTTCTGAGGGCTCTTGGGATGACCACTCTACCATCACGAAGGATGAGTCCATCTTGGACCACCAACGCATCGGGGATGTGAAAGTATGGGGTTACGGTCACGGGCAAACTGTGCTTGCTTTCAGGCCATCTGTCTTGTATAAGCACCTTCACAGCCTGGAGGGCTTCATCCTTGCCTGTCTCGTTCTTCAGCCCAAGCAGTTTATCTTCGGATGCTATCATTTGATTGATTTCTTCGATGCGAGGCATGACCTCTATCTCTTCTTCAAATGCTGATCTGACCAACTGTACCTCATCTCCACTGAAGTGTCTGCTGAGTGTGTCGGCTAGGTACATTTCTGACCCCTTTTTGTACTGGATATCAATATCGTACCACTGGAGGTGCATAAACATCTTTTTGAGCTGCCTTGGGACCGAGGCAAGCGGTTTTCCGAATATCATCTCCAAAGGCTTATGATCAGAGTCTACGACAACTCTCCATCCGTATGTATATTGGTGCAAACGTTCTACACCAAACACAATGGCCAAGAGTTCCTTCTCAATTTGTGCATAGTTCATTTCTGTAGAGGTAAGCACCCTGCTTGCATAAGCAATTGGTTTCCCGCCTAGCAACAATGATGCACCCAGGCCCTTCTCGCTGGCGTCACATTATAGTGCCAGTGGCTTGTCAGGCTCATAGTATTTCAACAGTGGCAGGCTTGACACCAGCTTCTTGATGTCCTCAAATGCTTTGTCATGAATTTTGGACCAGGAAAAGTCATTTTCCTTTCGTGTTAGCTGTCGCAGTGGCTCTGAGACGTCGGATAGGTTCGGCAGAAATTTAGCTAAGTAGTTGGTCATTCCCAGGATCCATCTAACACCTGTTACGTCTGTGGGCTTGGTCAGATTGGATATTGCCTCAACTTTAGAGGGATCTGCTTTGACTCCGTCAGAAGTGAGTAAATGTCCAATGTATGGCATGGACGTTTTCTTGAGGGAAATCTTCATTTCGTTTAGCTTAATGCCTCTTTCGCGGCACCGTCCCAGTAAAGCCTCTAGTTTGGTGTCATGGTCTTTTACTGCATCCACTACTGACTCACCGTTTCCAATGATGAGGAGGTCATCCGCCACTGTCCTGACCCCATCTAGACCCTCAATGGCTTGGTCTAAGCGACGTTGGAAAATTTCTCCCACGGGAGAAATTCCAAAAGGCATTCTGGTCCACTTGTAGCGGCCAAAAGGGGTGTTGAAGGTGGTTAGTGTTGATGAACCTTCGTCCAACTTCACCTGCCAGTAGCCATTCTTGCAGTCCAGCTTGGTGAACACCTTTGCGTTAGCTAGGTCTGGCAGCACATCTTCAATCATTGGGATAGGGTAATGGCATCGCTTTAAAGCCTTGTTCAGTGGCTGCGGGTCAAGGCAGAGCCTTATCTTTCCATTGCTTTTCTTGTTGACCACTACGGTGCTCACCCAGTCGGTCGCTTCTACAACTTTCTCAATCACTCCTTGCTGCTCGAGCTCTGTTAGATGCTCTTTTAGGGGTTTTCTGAGGGCTTCCGGTATCCTTCTGGGCGGGATCTGGACCAGTTTAATCGTTTCATCGACTTCTAGGTGTAGGGGTTCCCCGAGTTCTCCAAGGCCTTGAAACACGTCAGCATACTTGGTTTGTATTTCCTCCTCGGACATGCCAATCTCACTCAGAGCCTGCACCGCATGAACGACTTCATTCGACCCAGGCAGTAAGTTTTCATGCTTGACTTGGATCAGGTTCATTTGTTGGGCCACTATGCTCCCTATGAGATTGATGTCAGCGTCGTTGTCTTTTACTACCACAAATTCCACTTTGTACTTCTTGCTATTTCGTGGATTGGTCAGCTGAACACGGCATTTCCCAACTGGTCTTAATGGCGATGAATTGTACATCTTCAACACTTGATTCGTGTGTGTGACCTTGTTTTCGTACTTGGTGCCACGCAATTCACCAGCTCGGATTATGTTACAGGTTGCCCCGGTGTCCACTTGGAAGATTGCCTCATAGACGCCCTTGATCTTCATTGTCATGTGGATTTTCGATTTAAATTCTCGGCCTTTTACGATAAGGATTTCCTCAGGCTGTGGGGATAGGTCAAGAGTCATGATTGAATCTCCAGAGTCGTCGTCTGAGAGGTTCGGCCCATGAGATTGCGTTATGATGTTCGCCGATGTAAACTTTTGGCTTGTATTTCTCTGTTGGCAAACTTGAGAGAAATGGTTGCGACGGCCACATTTTTTGCAAGTTTGTCCGTATGCTGGGCAGTCGCCTTGTCTGTGTCTTCCCCTGCAATACTGACAAGATCAGATTATTCCTCTGTCTCTTCTTGGTCTTTCGTTTTCCATCCTCTTGGGTGTAACAGCATTAACCTCGTCATCTGTTCTGGATATCGGTGTCTTGTTCTTGAGCTCTTTCAGACACATGTCAGTGGTTTCACCGCTTCTTCCAATATCTGTTGCAAGTGAGAGGTTGAGCTTCTTTTCTTGCAGCAATTTCTTCTGGATCGATTCACTTCTGATTCCTAGAACCAGCCAGTCTCGGATGAGAGAATCGTGTAGGCAACTACAGAAATTGCATGTCAGGGCGAGCTTTAGCAATACAGTCACGTATTGGTAAATAATTTCATTTTCTTCTTGATCCCGGCGATTAAAGATGAATCTCTCATAGGTTTTTTTTGTTTCCCCGATGCAGAAGTCCTCAAATTTTCCGACTACTTTGTTGAGCACTTGCTTATCGGTTTCTGGTGTGAAATCCATGCCATCGAATATTTCAAGCACATCTTCTCCTATTACTGACAAGAACATTGCCGTCTTGAATTTTTCATCGAAGCGCTCCAGTCTGGCCACGATCACGTAGTTATCCCAGGTTCGTTTGAAACATTTCCAGTTCGTCGCAAGATTTCCATCTGTCTTGAGAGGCGGAGGCAGTTTTAATCCAGAAGGAAGGGTTGGCTTTCCCGAGGCCATGTTGTCTGATCCTTCTCCACTTGATTGATTCAACATTTGTGGAGCCGCAGGTTGTGTTCCACCGGCAGATTCTTTGCTATCGCTCATGTCGCTTATTGTGTGGATCCCACTCCTGACACCATGTTTTGTGTCCAATAATTAACTCTAACAGCCTTCAGTTTAGGTAAGTGAATTTATTGAACATTGCCCTTTTGCCCTGTGCCGTAACCAAGAATCCGTACTATTACATTGTGTTGGTCATGCAATGAGAATCACATCTCGAGTTACAGTAACTTAAACCCCTATCATAACAATATTAACTACAAAATTATGAAGGCATCTAATGTACGGAGGTGTTAAATTGACTTTATCCAGTAAGTTACCATAGGGCAGGTTATAGTCCTCAAGTATGAATCTAATATGCGCTTGTTGGGAACGTCCATTTTTTCAGCATTACTTGCATACGCAAGGACGTCATTGTTTAAGACCGAAAGTGCCTTTGGGAACACGTGAATGTTGTTGTTTAGTTGGTGAAGCCATTTTGAAATTTTTTATTGAGTTAATCTTTGGAAATCTTTGTAATCCTCATCTGAGACAGCCGTAATCTAGGAGTAGAACCTATGGAATCTTAAGGAAAATATAGTCCAGTGAGAGAAATCTTGTACATGGTTCTTCTTAGTAGGATAGAAGCTGATTGAAATGAGTCTACAATTGCGTCACGTTGCTAGTGAGTGGTGAGTGAAGTCTGTGTTGAATTTTCTATGTATCTTAAGTGCCAAAATGGCTGAAGAACTTTCCAGGAAATGAAGACAGCGTGGAGGTCACAGGTCCCCCGCAACCTGTATTATTTTGTCTGTGATCAAGGTCCTTATCACTGGTGACATTTCACAATTCGCCGAACACACGGTCAAGCTAAACCAACAAAGGGCAAGCCTTCAGCATAAACAGATCACTCTTCAACAACTCGACACGGAGATTCTGGTCCTTAAGGGTGAAGACGAAATCAAAGCCGAGGTAGAGCAGGCAGATGTGGTCAAGGAATATATCCAGCTGTCCATAACTAACATAGATAACGCCTTGTCGTCAAATGCGAACGTAAATACTGTTGCTTCAAATCAGTCCGTGCAGTTGCCTTTGCAACCAAGCATGTTAGCAAACACATTGACAGAAGAAAGTCATGGCAAGAATGATTCTCCTCCGAGAGCTACTTTGGTGGATTCCTCAGCATCTTCATTGGGGAAAACCCAGGTCAGACTACCGAAGTTGGAACTAAAGAAATCATAGTAAGTGGATCTCTTTCTGGGATGCCTTTGAAGCTTCAGTACATAAAAACAAAAATCTTTCGCCCATTGACATGTTTAACTACTTGATTTCGCTACTTGAATGGTCAGCAGCTGAAGCAATTTCGGCTTTGATACTAACAGCATCAAATTATGTGGCAATAGAAATTCTGAAGGTTAGATTTGGCAACAAGCAGCAAATAATTAATCGTCACATGGAAATGTCAGAAGCTTAAAGTCACTGGGAGTTCCCCGCAAATCACGTGGTGGTTTACTTTCATCCATCTTGATGATTAAGCTATCGCAGGAATTTCATCTTGTTATTACTAAAGAAGTGGGAGATTATGACTGGCAACTGGACCAGCTGTTTACAATCTTTAAGAGGGAACTAGAGGCAAGAGAAAGAGCTGGAGGAACGACTGTTAATGGAAATCAGCCTCCTCCTCCCAAGCCACATAGGAACGACAACAGAAAGGATCCAGCGACAACATACACCCTTCTTAATGGCAACGCTAATCGTCCCACTTGCAACTACTGAAGAGAAAACCACCTATCAAAGGATTGCAAGACAGTAACTGATGTGCAAGCTCATAAAGATCTTTTTAAGAAGTATGGAAGATGTTTTGTGTGCCCTCGAAATGATCACATAAGCCACAACTGTCCATCCAAGTCCAAATGTCACAATTGTAATGGCAAGCATAATGTCAATACAGTATTGTGCAAAAGTAATGAGAGCGTTACTCGACAAAATTCACAAATTTCTGGGCCTTTTGACGAAAAATGGTGAAGTTTTGTTCGATGATCAAAAGACAAGAGAATCGAGGAGAATTTGAACAATGCGTTTCGCTTTTATTTATACGGTATTGTAAATTAATACACAAAAATACAGACGTGGCAAAATGATATGAACAAAGAGTAGATAAATAGAAGAAAAGACATTACGCAAGACTGGGAGTTCTGCAGCCTTTAACATTGCCTTTGAAAGGAAAGAAAAAAAGAGAAAAGGATACAATTTTTAATTTCTAAGATCTCTCAAAGGTAACAAAGAAAGATTAATCACTGATATTGGCTGGAAAAATAAGGAACGAAAAAATAGGAATGAAAATGAGAATTATTACCTGCTTTGGTGATCGGACATTAGAAGCGATACTTTGTTTATAATTGAAGGGGTAAATGCAAAACCATGCTAAGTGACAATTTGGGTGAAAAAAGAATTTTTCTCAATAGTGCCTGAATTTTTGCATGTGGTCTTCAATGTAAAAGAAAAAACATGGTCCTGTATTTTTCTCGCTGGTTTGTGCTTTGTTTTCAAGTTAAAGTGTC